ACCCAAATAGGAACTCTCAAGAACTCTTCACTCTCAAAGGAGAAGTCATCGGATAATGTTTTAAGGAACATTGTTTTCCCAAAGAGGACATAGGGGCCTTCGGTGAGTACCTTAACCCGGTCCTCATCACATTTGAACTTGAAGATAACCCAACCTTTGCTATGGGTTTTGACATCAACTTGGACACCCCATTTTTTAGTCATGCCAAAAATAGCTTTTAGGCCCGGAAACCTACCAGAAAAATGGCCAACCAGACAGTAGCCCCATATCTCAATAAGGGTTGGCACTTCAAGATGAGAAAAATCAAGTTTTTCTCCGGTAGGAGGAAAAAATTCAAGCTTGATTCCATTGGAAGGTGCCCGGTTGTCCCTAAATAAAGAGACATAGGTCATAGGTTCCTCCTCAAAATCTTCATAAAGTGACTCAGTATCGTGGGACCCAAGGGAAATGGAGCCTTCAAGATCATCATTGTTATGGGGGCTGTTTTCATCCGAAGTTTCAATGATAGGTGCATCCGGGTCTACCACAGTTTTTCACACCAAGGATAGTTCAGCTGATGCCGCGGCATTCGAAGAGTTGGAGTCCAGCCCTATTAGTTTCCCAGCGAAGGACACCTGTGATGCCGTGGCTTTAGGAGATGCCGCGGCTTTAGCAGATGCCGCGGCATAAGTGCCATGCCCCTCAACACCCTCCGGTGCCACAGTCTTGGACGAAGTCCCAGTGAAGTTGTCCTCATTCCCCATAGAGGCTATAGCCATTGAAGAGCCAGAACGTACCTGCACCTTATCAAAAGCCCCAAAAGAGTTAGCAAAAATAGGGTCCATAGAAGGGGATGCCACCTTCATTGGATTAGCCTTCTTCATCTTGCCCTCCTCCATGGCAGCTTTCTTGGCTAGTAGGTCCTTGACTTTTTCATCAAATTACTTATCCTTAGCCGGTGGAGTCCTTAGTTGTTTGTTTTTCCTTGTCATGGCCGGAGCTTAACAACGAGACCACAAACAAACAACGTGCCAAACCAAACCAATAACGTTATGGAGAAGACCCCTCAGCATGTAAAACACCCTGCCATGGTTAGTTTGCACAAGAACAAGCAATAAAGAAGGGGAAATTCCAAAATTAGCTCTGGGTTTGCAGGATTACTGTACAGTCTACCCGTTGGGGAAGATGAACGGTAACGTTTGAAACCAAAACTAACCGGAAAAATCCCACAAAATCACAAAACGTGCACCTTAAGAAAACGAGTCTAATGGTATACACAGGTTACAGCAAAGGTAAGAAAATAATCCCCAGGGAAATCAAAAAACTTCCAGCACCTGCGCACAAGTACAGTAGAAATTCGAAGAAGTGGGGAAAATTGAAAACTTACTCAAAACCTGTGAAACCGGTGTTAATAGCTTCGTCTGGGTCAGATGTATCCACCCCAAGCTTCAGAAGGAACTTTGAACGCCCAGAATAGGAGAAAAATCAAGGTCAACGGCCTCCTGTGAACAGTGCGCCGCCACAACGGATATACTCAAACTCCGGTACGGCGGAGGAGGGGTGGCTGGAAACCAAGCTCGGGAGGTGCGCCAGAGGCTGGCGACCCCCAGACGACCTTCTTCTTCCACAAACAACCGTCCAAAAACAGATCAAGCGCAGCTTTCTATTTCGGGAAAGGAACAGTGTCCGAGAACTCTGGACCTTCCAAGAAGTTCGTAACCAGCTAAAAATCCAAGATTTTTCAAATCCAAATGATAGATGAGAAAGCCCTTAAGACTCCGAGCCGGGAACAAGAATGAAATCAAGGATTAAACGAGAGATTTGGTCCCAGGAGCGAAGAACACGAGCGTACAAAACTATTCCGACCCAGGGGTGCGAAATAGTTTAGAGAGAAGGCGGAGAATTCCCAACTCGCGTTACTGAGAGCATCGTCGTCATTATTTCTTTTTTGTTGCAAGTGTAGTAACCATTTGATGAATTCCCACGGTTACTGCCACGGAACGGGTAGCCACCGAGGGTTCATCCTTATCAAAACTCACTGGCCGTTGGACAGCCTTGGAATCATTGTGGTCTGAGACCACTAGACCTATAACATGTGGCGCAGCACCAATTACATGGGCACAAACAACATCAGTTATTTGAAATTTAGTAGGGACAACATCAATTACAGGGACCTGAACATTGGTCACAACATCAAACACATGAAAATCAGAAGGGGCTTGAACATTGGTAACAATTACAAGGTCATTTGGGACAACATCAAACACAGGGACTATGGTAACATTTCCATCAGGGGCATGAACATTGGTCATAGCAAAATGATCTGTAAATTCAGCATCAATATGGCCTTTTTTGCAATGGAACCTGCCAAATCAGTTTCTAAAATAGCTATATCAGAGGTAACCAATTAATAAATATTAGGCTAATGATTTGAGGAATCAATCCTTAATTTTGTATTAAAGAGTAGAAGTATTTAAATACAAAAAGATATGCCCTAACTAATCGGCCCATGAGAGCACGTGTACAAGTAATTACACAATAATTCACTATCTAATCAAGGCCCAAAAATATGTTCAACACCCCCACTCAAGTTGGAGCATGCGGATCAAATATGCCCAACTTGCAAAGAAGAAAATGAAACCGATGGTTCCCCAAAGCCTTGGTGAAGATGTCTACCAGCTGAGTATGAGTGGATACATGTTGAGGGGTGATTAAGTGTCTTGGAGAGCATCACGCACATAATGACAATCAACCTCAATATGTTTCGTGCGTTCATGGAAGGCAGGATTCTGAACAATATGAACAGCGGACTTGTTGTCACAGAAAAGAGGCATAGGACGAGAGTGTAAAATACCAAGACTGAGAAGCAGACCCTTTAGCCATTTCAGTTCAGCAATAATAGTGGCCATGGAATGATATTCGGCCTCCGCAGAAGAACGAGACATAGTATGCTGCTTCTTAGTCCTCCAGGAAATAGGTGATCCTCCCAGAAATACCAACCAACCAAAAAGAGACCGACGGGTGAACAGACAAATGGCCCAATCGTAGTCACACCATCCAGTAAGAAGTAAGTTACACGAAGAGCCCAGAAGAATGCCCTGGCCCGGACAGCCCTTCAGATAATGCACCACACGGAGAGCAGCACTCCAGTGTTCCTGCCACGGTGCCTGCATAAACTGAGACAAAATATGAACTGCATAAGCCAAATCCGGGCGAGTGAAAGAAAGATAAATAAGCCGCCCAACGAGTCAGCGATAAGACTCGGGATTGGATAAAAGTTCGCCAGATGAAAGAGCCAAATTGTGATTCTGTTCCATGGGAAAGGCCGCTTGTTTTGCACCGAGAAGTCCAGCTTCTGAGATAATATCCAAGGTATATTTGCGCTGACACATATAGACACCATCTGTACCACGTGCGACTTCAATGCCAAGAAAATACTTAAGAATACCCAAATCCTTCATATGAAAACATGTGTGTGAATACGCCTTGAACTCAGATATAGCCGAAGAATTATTGCCTGCAATAATTAAATCGTCCACATATACCAGGACACAGAGTCGTATATCGCCACAGCATAAAGTAAATAAAGAATAGTCGGAATACGATTGAAGGAAACCATAGTGTTTAAGAGAGGCATCAAGCTTAGCAAACCAACATCTGGGGGCTTGACGTAGCCCATAAAGAGATTTCTTCAAACGACACACAACCCCGGGCTTAGCCGGCCAAAACCCAGGAGGTAGTTTCATGTACACCTCCTCATACAAGTCGCCATGAAGAAACGCATTATGGACGTCCATTTGATGTAGCTCCCAATTCTTGGCCGCTGCAACCGTAAGAAAAGTTTGTACAGTAACCATCTTGGCTACCAGAGCGAAAGTTTCATTATAGTCAATACCTGTGACCTGATGATTACCAAATACTAAAAGACAAGCCTTAAGACGTTCAACGGTGCCATCAGATTTATATTTAATTTTATAAACCCACTTACAACCGAGAGCCTTTTTACCAGGCGACAGCTGCTGCATGTCCCACGTATGATTATCCTCAAGTGCCTTGATCTCACTTTGCATAGCCTCACGCCAACCAGGATCAGTCATAGCTTCCCGAAAGGAACGTGGTTCAAGACCTGCGGTAATAGCACCAAGGAACGCTCGATGGCGTGCAAAGAATTTATCACAAGTTACAAAATGTGCCAAAGGATAAGGCGTACCTGAGGAACAGAGAGGATCAAGTGGCAGCGGAGATGGGCTTACATGATGTGTGACAAAGTCCCGGAGTATAAGTGAGGTACATTTTTCACGTTGTCCTCGGCCAAGCAAAGAGCTAGGTGCGATCACTGTTCCAGCGGGTGGTGAAATCTCATGCGATGTGGGAGGCGCAGCAGAAATAAGTTCCTCTTCATCATCTATAAATGACGGCCCAGTAGGTGGAGAGACAACCAAATCAGTAGTCCCGTCCTCCGGGTTATGAACATTCACCACGAACGGGTATTCATTCTCATGAAAATGTACGTCACGTGAAACAAAAATATCTCTCGTGGCACAATCATACATTTTCCAGCCCTTCTTTGCATTAGGGGTATCCAACAAATACACAACGACGACTAAGAGAAGCAAATTTATCACCTTTGGATCGGTGATTATGAGCAAAACAAAGACAGTCGAACACCTTTAAAATAGAGAAATTTGGTGCTTTACCCGTGAGGACTTCAAACGGTGTCTTCCCCCAAGTAAACCGGACGGTGTACGATTAATCAAATACACAACGGTCAAAACACATCTCCCCATAAATGAATAGGAACATTAGCCTGAAACATAAGTGCCCTGGCAACATTTAAAATGTGTCTATGTTTACGTTCTACCCTCCCATTCTTCTGAGGTGTAGCAACGCACGAAGTCTACAAAATAATGCCATGAGTATCAAAGTAGGGCAACATACAATTGAACTCAATTCCATTATCACTACGAACAATTTTAACTGCACAACCAAATTGCTTCTCAATCATGGCAAAGAAGGATATAAAACTTTTGTAAACTTCCGTTTTATCATGCATCAAATATATCCAGATAGCCCGGGAAAAGTCATCAACAAGTGTCAGAAAATACACAACATGACATGTGGAAGGTGTTTTGTAAGGCCCCCATCAAATCAAAAACATTACTAGCTTTATTCTCACTAAGAGGATAAGGATCATGAACTTGCTTGGCTTGTGGACACACCTCACAAACTCTATTCAATTTTTTAGGAGTAGAACTAGTTCTAATAGCAGGAAGTAATTTAAGTACGCGATCTGATGGATGCTCCAGATGACGATGCCACATTTCATAATCAGGCAAACATCCCACAGTGATTGCATGCAACGCAGAAAATCCACGGAAATAGAAAAGTCCATCTCGCCGTTCACCTGCTTCAATCAGGTTCCTCGAGTGTAGGTCCTGTATAGCATAAATTGAATCAGTGAAAGTAACAATGCAATTTGATTGATCAACTAATTGTGATACAGAAATCAAATGGCAATCAAGTCCCGACACATATAAGACATGATCAAGCGTGATAAATTCAGAAATTTTCACACGACCCTTCATGGTAGCATGTGTAGTTCTGCCATCAGGTAATCCAACCGAACAAGAATGAATGGGAGTAACTTCGATAAGATGAGATTGTTCACCGGTGACGTGTTGAGATGCACCAGTATCAAGTATCCATTCAAAATTACAATTCTTACCCGTCATCCGCTCACTGGAACTAGTCTCGGCATGGAGTATATTGAGTATAGCTTGAACATGTTCTTTATTCAAACCTGACAGACCATTCATGACTGGAGTAGGCTGCGCACCATGCTCACTGGAAGAAGCCAACGTTGAGGAAACCGCATGAATGCGTACCCCCCCCCCCCCCCCCCCCCCCCTCCACGTCCAGGTGTAGAGCCTTTGTTACGGTTACGTTCCTCCCACCATTCCGGGTATCCGTGGAGCTTAAAACAAGCGCTAACTTCGTGGCCCTTTTGCTTACAATGTGTACAGGTGAGCTTCTGGCGGTCTGCTTTATCAACACGACCTTTAGGGCGCTCCACCTGAAGAGCAAAAGCGTGAGTATCTCCTGCGACCTGCTTGCCACGAGCCACAGCCCGTTAACGTTCCTCCTGCAAGAAACTTTGATCCAGGTCTGGCACAGGGGTTTGAGACAGCAGGTTCGATCTCACAGTTCCATAGACGTCATCGTCAATACCAGTTAGAAATTGATGCAGCTGCTCTTCTTCCCTGTCTGCCGAAAACTTCCCGACAACATCACACCTACAGTTGCCGCACTTGCAGACATGGAGAGGCTTCAGTCTATACAGAGACATAAAAGTGGTGTAATATTCATCCACCGTCATGGATTTCGTTTGCTTACACGCAGTAATCGAAGCCCTAAGCTGCTGCAACCTAGGTCCATTCACTTCACTAAATCGTTTTTCAAGGTAATCCCACAATTTTTTGGCCTCATCGTGAAAGGGGATTGAAATTGTTCTTTTACCATTCATAGCACAAGTAGAGTGGCCGAAACTGTAACATGACCTGCAATAAGTAGGTCAGTTTTCATATTGAACAGCCTGGAAAAAACCATCATCTCCGTTTGCAATCCAGATTTTAGCAGGTAAGGCTTTAGAGACATCAATTTCAAAATTGATTTAGTAGTATAATTTTACAAAATGGAGATCGCATGACAAACATTAATAGTATAATTTCAAATTGATTTTAGCAGGTATGATTTTAAATCATTTAAAATAGTGAAAGAAAAGAGAAATTATATAATATATTTAACTTATTTTTAACTTATGTTAGTTTGACCTCCTTTTTAAGCGTGTACAAGATGCTTGACAACTATTCCAATCTATTAATAACGTACATTGGACGATGAATATCAGATAAATACAATTAATAAGATTCTAGCTAGAACATCATGAACATACTTGTAGACCGCAGGTAGCTAAATTTCATGCTTTATGTAAAATTTATGCTTTAATCGTCTGATCTCAACAGTAATTACTTATTGAATTGGGCCATGGGTGATGATTTATGATTTTCTAAATTAAAGCCTTTTGTTATAATTTCCTATTTGTATATTATGAGATGCATCATAATCCTTTCTTAATTTCCTCATTTAATTTAATTTAATTAATAATTAATGGAGATAAGTACTGGACCGATTGTATCCCCATCGTCCATTAATGCGGCTGTCGTTCTCTTAAATCTACCCTCTTCAACTTGTTCGCTCTATCATTTATTACACGCGCGGTTATCAACTTAACATTATTCTCTCGCCGAATAAGCTGACAATTTCAAACTACTTCTACAACTACTAGTATAATTTACTTTAATTTATATTACTACCCTCGGTTCTTATTTTTGTCAATTCAATACTCCCTCCGTTCCGGTCATTTCTTCCGGTTTTGACCGGTATCGCAAATTTAGGTAGTGAGAATAAAGTGAAAATGTATGGTTGTAGTTGTGTAAGAAAAAGGTGAATGAATGTGAATCACATATTTTTTCCAAAAGTGAAAGTTGGAAGAATTAATTGGGACAGTCAAAAAAGGAAAGTTGGAAGAAATGACCGGAGTATAATGTACTCCGTAAATATAAGTCACTTTGTTTCAAATATTTGTTCTTACTAAAGAAAAGAAACAATCAATTAAACAAATCAACAATATAACTTAAATTGAAATGTAGAGCACCGATTGCTAAAACAGGTCACTTGAAATAGTGAAATTTGCTTGACGCCTCCATCGATAGCAGACCAAAATATGTAGTATGAAATAATGTAACATTTAGGCATGGCCCTTCTAGAACCGGCCCTGCAGAATGCACATGTAGTGTGGAGTATTATTTCATCAAATAATACTGTAATTTGGAACATCTAAAACTATAATTGTAAAATTATTTTATTAACGGAGTAATGAAATTAAAGGAAATTTGGTGGACGGGTGCTTCAAGAGTCAAAGTAAGAAAAATAAATGTGTACAAAACTAAAACATACACAGTGAACAAATAAGATCACAACTACTTTTATTTCAATATATGACTAATTCACTATTAATTGTACAAGTTTTATGCTTTTAATGTAACTAAATAACTCTTTTTGTTATCAATAAAATATAAAAAATTTCACGTAAGAAAAGTGGTGGACAAAAATGTGACTTTATAACTATTATTGACTACAATTATGTTAATAAAGACTACAAAGTATATTGTAGTTACTAAGATATAAAATTGGAACACAATTATAGTAACAAATACTTACTTAGTAACATTTTCGTCCATGGCCTTTTTATTATTACTAGTAATATTTTAGGAACAAACTCTAAAACATAATTACACTTACTGGTGTAAAGTTTGTCTACATTTTGATCAAATAAAAGCAATTATTTAAAATTAAAGTGAATACACAAGGGGGGAAACTAGCTATAATAGTTTTACGTTTTACTTGGTAATCCGTAACTTTTAACTCCATTGACTTCGTTTATATGTACGAAGTATATACTACCTCCGTCCCAAATTGATTTGCAAATTTGACTTTTCTTGGTCAAATAGTTTCATTTTGTTCGCTTAATTATGATGTCAATTTTTAATTATATTCTAATTTGTAGTTTGCAACTTTGAAGAGATTTTAATGTAGTTTCTGAATATGTAAATTTTAATTATTAAAAATTGAATTAATTAACGATAGGAAACATTGACTTTTATTAGTGTTTGACCAAAAAATGTTGACTTTGCAAAACAGACGGAGGAGTATCATATATGTATATATACCTAGTATGATATGATATACTCAACTACATATGCTTGTGTTAAATAAAACATGGCGAGGTGAACGAACTGTAGACCCTTGAGTAGTCATCTGGTCCATCCACGGGCATACACCGTTCCGCCGCCGATAAATTATAAGCAATATATCAGCTTTTGCTGGCGCGCGCCTATATATATGGAAGTAAAATCTCCGAGAAAGGAGATCCAAGGTCCCCGCCCAACGCCGCTCAAAGTACACAAAGACTCCCACAAGATAAGAAAGCCTCCTCCGGTGCCGCAGCCGCAGCATCCGCCGCAGGCGCCTCCCCGGCCGCCTGTTATCATCTATACTTTGTCCCCCAAGATTATCCATGCAAACCCTAGCGACTTCATGTCCCTAGTTCAACGCCTCACGGGCTCACTACCCGCCGAGCCGTCCTCCTCCTCCCAGGCCTTCCAAGGCTATCTCAACGGCGGCGCGGTGTCTCCGGCGGCCTGCTTTGCTTCTTTGGAGAAAACCCGGACGACTCAGAAGGGTAAGAACCCGCAGCTGTCAAGTGACGTGGAAGGGATTGTCGGGGGTGTAGAGATCAGCGGTGAGGTCGAGAGGAGCGGATTCTTCCCGGGGGTATTATCGCCAACTCCGGCTTCTTTCCCACCTATTCCTCCCAGTTTTTTCTCACCGCCGTCCGATCAAAACCCTCTAGGGTTTTTCACAGATTTAATCAGTCCTGTGCTGCACAGCAGCAGACACTACCCAGAAACCAGCTTTTACATTACTAGCCCTTCAATTCTCAATAATTTCATTTCCCCTCGCTTTATTTTCTCTCCAGGCTCTACATCGCTAGATCTTTTCAGTAATGACCTCTTTGACCTACCGGCAACCCACACCCGATAGCCGGAAAGTCTCGGGAATTTAACAAACATCAGGATAGGAGCTTTCATCGGAAAAGTCAACGGTAACTTTTCTATCAAGGTTTGATGTAATATAAAATCAGCAGAATTGTAAAAATGTAAGGCGTCCAAGCATTTGGGGAATGGATCCTTTTCTCGCCCTAATTTATTGCGAGGAATTGAAATGGCTGGCCGGCTTTCTGGTTGAGCAACGTTAGTTAAGCATTCATGTTGTATGTAGTACTGTTACAATGTTTTTATTTATATTGAAATTTGGAGGTCCCATTTGGTTTGCTATAGTCTGAATATTTTATAACTATTTAATTCTGGTCTAGTCAGGTAAATGTCTAGTCTCTGTTTATTTTAATTATAACCATCTAATTCTGGTTTGGTCTGATCTGGTCTGGTTGGTCTGATCAAGTCTAATCTGAATTAGCCTGGTCTGAGACCGAAAACAATCCAAGTAAAAACATTCTTAGCTGGGACTAAGAGTACGTAGCCATAAATGCAACAATGCAACTATAACTCTTTTGTTCTCAAAATAGAAGTTAAATGGGTATGTTTTTCTTTCTATTCTACCCTCTTCATATAATAGTTAATATATTTATTTTATGATTTAAATATGATTTTAATCCTTGCAAATATAGTACATTTGGTTTTACATCCCTGTAAAATTATTATTTTTGCTTTTTGTCCTGCAATTTATGCTGGTTTTCTTTTTAGTCCATTACCAATGAAAAAACCTCCAATTGATCTTAAAATAACCTCGAATAATAGATTTTCTTTAATTATTTGTTATGTTATTCAAAAAGTATTTTTTTTCGAGGGTTTTTAGTATACATTTTAAAAATGTGAATGCTTAGTTTTACATCGTTTTAAATCTCATATTAGCCTCAAGAAAATATAAAGGGAAAATTTAAATATTTCTAGTACACTTATGCAAGTAAAACTAACTTTTTTCTAAGTAGATTGATTTCAGAATTAGAGATGAACTAAAAACCAAATTCGTGCATATCACAAGGATGAAAAATAAATAAAATATTTTGCAGAGACTTAAAGCAAGTGTGTCATATTTGAAAGGATTAAAAACGTATCTAAACCTTATTTTATTAATAAGAAATTATATTTATAAGAAAATCATATTTTTATTTATAATAGAATATAAAAAAAATAGAAATACGTATAAATTAATAATAAAATGAGAAAACAAAAAGGTACAATAAAATGACACACCCACACACACACACACACACACATATATATATATATATATATATATATATATATATATATATATATATATATATATAGAGAGAGAGAGAGAGAGAGATTGGTTCAAATAAAAGAGGTCTTAACGTGTAAAATGAGAACCAATTTGAGCCGTCCAATTTTTTGATATGCACAATAACCCTTATCTAATGCACAGTGCATTAGATAAAGGTTATTGTGCATCAGATTGAAAAATTGGACGGCTCAGATTCATTCTCATTTTACATGTTAAGACCCCTTTTTATTTGAACTCTCCCTGATATATATCAGGGAGAGTTCAAATAAAAAGGGGTCTTAACGTGTAAAATGAGAATGAATCTGAGCCATCCAATTTTGTGTGTGTGTGTGTGAGTGTGAGTGTGTGTGTGTGTGTGTGCGCGCACGTGCATGTGTGTGTGTGTGCATGTATGTATATGTATATATATATATATATATATATATATATATATATATATATATATATATATATATATATATACTAGCGTGGGCACGCGCGTTGCGCGACGGACGATGCCCAATGTTTGAAAATTAACAAGTGAATAAATGAGAAAATATATTAATTGACGCATTCATGTAAGTTAGAAGTATCCCGTCACAACAAAAAAGGAGTTTAATGTGTCAATCACATGAATAACAGCCATTAAGCGTGCTGTTGGAAACGAAAAGCGCAGTGAATGTACCTGTGTTATACAAGCGTGCTGTTGTAATTGTCTGCACAATTTACACTCTACTTTGTGCTATAAATAATCATAGACACCATTTCTACCATTAAATCCATATTAATATTAATCTAAAAATAGATAAAATTCAATAAATTAAATTAAATGACAAAAGCTTTGAAATCAAACCTCTATTAAGCAAATATGGCGGAGGAGGAGGCTTTTTTACAGCATTGCGGAGTGCGTCGGAGTGCGGCGGCGAAGTACGTCGGAGTGCGGCTGCCTGCGGTTAATGCTTTTCCGTGCGCGGCTGAGAGGGTGGGGAGGCGGCTGACAGGTGGAAGAGGCAGCGTCCTGCTATTTTCTTCGAAGTATCCGCAGGAGTGCGGCGTCCTTGTTATCTCCAGACTTCCTCCTTCGCAAATCTAGGGCTGAATTATTTTGAAGTGTCCGCAGGGTTTGGGGAAAGTGTCCGCGGGCTGGGTATTATTTTACAACTTATTTCTGCGGTACCACTGTAACCGCAGCAAATAAAGAGCCGCAAATGACAAAAATTCTAGTAGTGAAACAACATTGTTGTCGCCAGCACTAACATAGTTAACCTTAGGGACCTTAGGTTAACAATATGGACCTCATATTCTTTCTAAGCCTCAGAAGTATCATCAGCAGCAAGGGAAATATCAGATGTAGCTGCTGTAATCTTTGGGATAAATTCATCATAGGTAGCAATCCTTTTATCACAAGCAACTTTCTCATAAGCAACGTTTTCACAATCAGTAATAGGGACAGGAGCATTTTCACAATCAATAGCAGGGCCATCTTTTAAAGAACAGTTCACAATCAGAACAGTTTCTTTATCAGTAACTGGGACAGAAGCATCACAAATAACAAGAGCATTACAGGCAACATTAGTATTGCAGAAATTATCATATTCAGTCTCAGGTAGAGTCCCCTTAATGAGTGAATTAGAAATGGCCAAGTTATTGTTGACCGTTGGGGCTGCAGATTATTCCTTTACACACTCAGTGTGTATATTTTTGGCAACAGTAACCTCAACATCCAAAGAGGGTTGGAGCATCATCGGTTTTGGGTCGAAATTGAGAAAACCCTAGGGCCTCAAAGGCCATCAGAATAGCGGTCAGAGGGAGGCGGCCATTAGGGTAGGTCACAACCACGGAGTAACAGAAATTAGAGGATAGAACCTGGATTTCATCTTGGGAGAAGGAAACCCCACAAAGCCTTTGAATCTCCCGGGAGGTTTGACGAGAAACTTAGGGTCGCCTATGTCCGAGAAAGGTAGAGATCTGACCATGAAGAAGCCCATACGCACGCAGGCATCGGGTGAAAAGCTAGAGTGGCAGAATTAAGAGAAAAGGTAGGGCGTCTGACCACGAAAGGCAAAGCAATGGAAGAGCCAAACGAAAGAGATATTATCTCACTTGAAGAAGCTCATCCATACGTTGGAACAGGAACAAACAGGAGCAAGCATTTTTCCCAGCCACAGAAAAAATCAAACTGAGGGAAGAAGACGGTAACAGACGTTTAGTTTCCTCTGCGCTAAATCGAAGCCTTCCGTCGAGCACTATTTTAATGGAATAGGCCCAACTAACTATCATTGGCGCTTTATATATATAGTAAGATGTGTGTATATATATACATAATACACACACACATATATATATATATATATATGTGTGTGTGTGTGTGTGTGTGTGTGTGTGTGTTTGTGTGTGTGTGTGTATACATATATATATATAGGGGAGGGTTCAAATACAAAGAAGTCTTCCCATGCAAAGTGAGAATTAATCTCGTGCATTCATTTCCAGATCTAATGGCTCAAAATGAGCCAAAAGTGAACTAAATTTGATCAAAAATGTGGTGGCAATTTTGTAATTAAAACGAAATTTTTTGCCACCGCAAAAAGTGCAACAGAAATACGCAAAAGTGCAATGCGGTGATGAAAAAGTGTAATTGTTCGCACTTTGCACGGGAGAACCTCTTTTTATTTGATCTCTTCCCTATATATATATATAGGGTCGGGCTCTAATGAGAAGACATCTTAACGTGAGAAGTGAGAAGTTACACATTTACCTATTCCTGATGCACTTTTTTTGCTAATCTGATGCAATTTTTGCGATGGCAGAAAACGTTCCGATTAGTTACGGAAATGCCACTTTTGCGATGGCTGAAAAGATCCAATTAATTACGGAAATGCCATATATATATATATATATATATATATATATATATAGAATAAGGATCAAATGAGAAGAGTGATTATCGTAAGAAGTGAGAATGCATCTGGTGCGTTCAATTTAAGATCTGTGCATCAGATTAGCAAAAAAGTGCACGGAAAAGTGCAAAAAATATTTAAAAAGTGATGCTAGACGCAGTGGCATTTCCGTAATTAATCGGAACTTTTCAGCCATCGCAAAAAGTGCATCAGATTAGCGAAAAAATGCATCAGAAATAGGTAAATGTGTAACTTCTCACTTCTCACTTCTAAGGTAGTTAGTCGGTCATTTAAACGTTACTGCCGTCCCTTTGAAAGTGCTCCTATTCGCGTAGCTTTGGCTAACGTCGGCATTCTGTTTTCTTCCCTCTCTTTCGAGCAACGAAACTTCAAATTACCCCCAAATATTTTCTGACCGCTGAAGCCATTGAAGAGCGCCGGATAGCCATAATAGCCACACATGGAAATATTTCTGACAGTTTCCATCCTCCACCGCCTCTTCTTTGCGGGCACCGTTTTTTTTACTGTTTGACGCTTTTGCGGCTGGCTCCTACAAGATGGCCAGGATCATTTCATTGCTTTATTTGTGCCTATCTACGCTTGCTTTCTCCTTTCCTTCTGCTTGGCCAACGCTTCGATCGTTCGAGACTATGAGTGTTCTGCTATTAATTTTTTCATTGCTTTAATGTGTGTTCCATGGGTCTGTTTATTGCTTTTTAAATTGTTCCTTTCTTCGTTGGATGTGATCGGGGTGTGGGAGTACAATTTGTTGTCTTACATTCTTTTTCGTGTGTGAAAACCCCTAGGGTGTGAGTTTTTTTGTATTTCTGTGGGAACCTGAAGGCTGTCGTTAGGTGGTTTCAGATTGGGTCCATATTTTTTTTTGTTTTGGAAACCATGTGTTCGTTTTTTGGGTTTACCTCCTTGATTCTTATGGGTGATTTTATGTGTTGTTTCAGTGTTTTCCATGGACCGGGCCTTTTCTTGCCATATATGGAGTTTTTTTCTGCGTTGTGTGTGTTTGGTTGGTTGGCCGTAGATATCACTAGTAGAAAAATGGTCTATAGTGACACTAAATTAGTGTCACTAAAAGTTTTAGTAACACCACGAAAGTGTCGACGAATGGTTGGAACTCTGATACTAAAAAATGTGTCACTAAAAAGTGTCAGTAAATTGTGATACTATAGTATCATAAAATGTAGTGATATATTTGTATCGAAAGTTTTAACGACTCTTTGGTATCATAAGAGTTAGTGATACACATGTATCATATAAGTTAGTGATACATGGGTATCATATATGTTAATGATACACTTCTATCACATATGTTACTAAAGATAATATATATATATATATATATATATATATATATATATATATATATATATATATATATATATATATATATATATATATATATATATATATATATATATATATATATATATATATATATATAT